GAACTCACATACTCTGATATGGGATGTAAATGTTCTAAGCAGCATCTTAACTGCTACACCAAAGATCTGCCCCCTCACTAAAATTATATCTTTTCTTTTACAAATCTCCCTCTCACCAAAACAAAAAAAAACTCAAAAACAAAAATTGAAGAAAAATCTGATCTCTCATTGACATTAGCTAGTGATCTTTTGCCCATGATTCTATGATCAATTCTCAGATTTTTCCTAAAACCCAATTTATTTTTCCTGGTGTGAAAAAATAAACAGGGCCAGTGCCGCAGCTCAATAGGCTAATCCTCCGCCTTGCGGCACCGGCACACCGGGTTCTAGTCCTGGTCGGAGCACTGGATTCTGTCCCGGTTGCCCCTCTTCCAGTCCAGCTCTCTGCTGTGGCCCAGGAGTGCAGTGGAGGATGGCCCAAGTGCTTGGGCCCTGCACCCACGTGGGAGACCAGGAGAGGCACCTGGCTCCGGATCAGCGCGGTGCGGCAGCTGCAGCGGCCATTGGAGGGTGAACCAGTGGTAAAGGAAGACCTTTCTCTCTCACTGTCCACTCTGAGGAAAGGAGAGGAGAGGAGAGGAGAGGAGAGGAGAGGAGAGGAGAGGAGAGGAGAGGAGAGGAGAGGAGAGGAGAGGAGAGGAGAGGAGAGGAGAGGAGAGGAGAGGAAAGGGGAGGAGAGGAAAGGAGAGGGGAGGACAGGGGAGGAGAGGAGAGGGGAGGAGAGGGGAGGGGAGGGGAGGGGAGGGGGAGGGAGGGAGGGAGGAAGAAAAAGAAAAAAGAAACAGGTTGTCAGGAGTTACGGAATCAAAGGTTTAAATTAGGGGTGATAATGAGACCTTCTTCAAAGTGCAGGTCAGGGATAGAAAGGACAGCTGGGAGGTGAATAGGTTCTGTTTGGGTTGACGGTTGGTTTGGGGGCATCCACTCCCAAGGTCAACAGTAGTGGGGAAAGGACCTGAGAGGGGAAGCTGACTTCTGAAACTTCTCTCATTGCATAGCTGAGTCAGGCTGTCCTCCTGGATCGCTCTCTTCTCCGCCACTAACAAAACTTGTGTGTTCTTACTGTTCCAGTAGCAAAAAAGGTGACAACAAGGGGGTCATTTACAAACCAGCCATCAAGATGGAGACCGAGGCCCATGCCTGAAGTTTGGGGCTCTCTCAGACGTCTAAGGAAGGACCTTGCTTTGGACACCACACAGCTGTGGCTCTCTGGACACTCAAAATACCTCAAGGTGTTCTCTGAAGCTCAATCTGCAAACACTCAGTCCTGGGGGACCTCCAGCTCCCCCAGCACTCTGGGGCCACCGTCAGAGTAATGTGATCCGTGGGTGGGCTGAACGCCTGGGTCAGGAGGCTGGAGCTCTGAGCTATCCGCTGTTTCTGTGTGAGATGGGTCAGGAGTCTGGATTCTGGGTCACAGACCCAAGCCGGTTACTGGCTGGAAAACACGTCCACCCCGGGCTTCCGTCACGTGTGCTCTCAAGTGTCTTGGAAATTCTGCTCATTCTCCAAGCTTCCAGACTAGAACGTGCGCTCTCTGCTTGTGTTTTGCTTTTGAAACTCAGTTTCTTTCCTCAGGGGAGGAAGAGCTGTTGCGGGCTGATTTCCCCCTGTGACAAAACCTTCAGTCTGACCTCACAATTGTAGTGGAACAGTTGAGACAGGAAGGGCCAAATTCTTGGGAAGGAAAACCAGAATACAGTTTGCAATATATTAGGGGCACTTTTCACAGTCCTGTCCTTCAGGTCACAGACACTGAATGGACCCTAGAGAAAGTTTCAAGTTCTTTTTTTTCTTTTTATGGAGGTGAGGGGAGAAAGATACACACAGAGACAAGGAGTTGGAGGGAAGGCGAGAAGGCAGGGATGGTCTGGGAGACTCTCACTTTGGAGTCTGAATTGGAACCACAAGCTGTTTATCGAGCCACAACCTGCAGGCAGAATACTGAGTCCAAATCCAACCTCGTGATAGTTTTTATACTGTACAGATCTCACGAATAGTTAGGCAGTTCCTTGAAAATGTGTTTTCTTTCTCTAGAGCAGACGCTGAGTTCTGAGGTGACCCAGTCTGCTTTTGAGTCTAAAATAGACAAAAGCAAAATGACTGTAGCACTCCACCTCTTGCCCAAATCCCACTTCTGAGTGTCCATTCTGCCAACCTGGGATTGGGTCTGATCTACTCCCGACTTTGAGGATATCACATTGTGTTAAGTTAAAATATAGTTTCAGGCTCTAAAGGCCAAACATGATCTGTACAGGGGTTGGTACTGCTGTGGTATTGAGGGACCAAAGATACTGGAACATTACTAAGTCTCCATATTCCTCCCCCCAAGTCACAGTATTAGAGAAGCCTTAACTCCTTCCTCATTGTCCTGCCATGGAAGTGGAGGTCAGTTAGTTCCACAGCAGAGAAGAGGTCACAGTCACCAAGCCCCTACCGCTAGCCCCTGGCTGTTTCCAGAGAGTGCTGATTCCCATCTCCTTTCGACAGCATGGAATGTCCTTCTAAAGCACAGGTCTCTATATTTATACAGTTTCCCTCTACTCTTCTCTCTGACTTTAAAGATTCTCTCCATCATCACACCTTTTTGTGTCTTTCAGTCTGTGTGTCTGTACACCACATGTCTGACAGCCTTGGAGCCAATGGTGGTGCCCGGCCTTGCCATTAGCACCGGCGATGCATCATCTGATCACAGCAGGGAAGGCATCATGACCAGGCCACGTGGATTCCGTGGTTTCTGCCTTGGCCCACAGTGGCCAATCAAGACCACTTCAGGAAACTCTAAGGATGAGAGAACAGAGAGCTCACTGTGCCTGGCACAGGGCTGCTCACGGAGAGACTAATATACTAGGTAGAAACACAGTGGCATTTCTCCTGCCCTCTTTGCTGTCAGCACAGGCCAGGCTCTTGGGTCTCCTGGCTGAGACAAAAAGGGCTGGTTGGGGCCGGCGCTGTGGTGTAGCGGATAAAGCTGCTGCCTGCAGTGCTGGTGTCCCATATGGGCACCAGTTTGAGTCCCGGCTGCTCCACTTCTGCTATGGCCTGGGAAAGCAGTACAAGATGGCCCAAGTCCTTGGGTCCCTGCATCCATGTGGGAGACCCAGAGGAAGCTCCTGGCTTTGGATCTGCACAGCTCTGGCCGTTGTGGCCAATTCAGGAGTTAACCAGTGGAAGGAAGACCTCTCCCCCACCCCCCTTTCTCTCTCTCTCTGCCTCCACTTCTCTGTAACTTTGCCTTTCAAATAAATAAGTAAATAAATCTAAAAAAGAGGGGTGTGGCTGGGTGGGTGCTGCGCTGGGGCACATGGCAGGTGGAGACATAGCTAAAACAAACCACAGGATGGGACAAGAGGTGTGGAAGGCCTGGCTTTTCTGGTCTTTCATTTGCCTCTCACTAATAAGGCTTCAAGTCTCTGTTCTATTTCTTTAGTATCCTCTGGAAAAAGTAGTAAAAATCTGTATCTGCATCTTTAGTGGATGACTCTAGGATTTGGTGCACTGATCCAATGATATCATATCCAGTTCAGACCCTAAATTCTCCCTTTCACAGTCTCCTGACCACCCCTCGGGCCCTGTGCTGACAGTCTGTCCAGTAAGTCTGTATTTATTGTCAGAATGATTGTAATCAAGATACACTGTAAATATAAAAAATGATAAATAAAATGTTTTTCACATCCAACTGATTGCTTGCAAAAGGTATCAGAACAAATGGTCTCCTCATTTGTATCCAGGTCTCAGAATCTGTCTCCAGTCAGGAAAACACACCAACTGACTCACTCCCTCTGCTAGTGAGCAGCCCCAGGTCACTCAGCTGCTTAGCTGGTGGAGCTGCAAAGTCTGGAGTTACCAGGGGAAGGCTCGGGGAGGAGGGGGGTCTGAGCTGGGCCTTGAAGAGTAAGTCAGATTGCAGCAATGGGTGGAAAAGACAGGGATATCTGTAACAAAAGGGCTGTGAACACAGGGAATAGGTCCAGTGTCTCTCCTCACTCCCGAAAGTGTTGTAACTAGCAGGCAGACAGCCACTCTCAGCCACCTCTTCTGATCTTGGATCCTTCTGGCATAACATACTATTCCCCTTCATAGGATCTCAGCTTTGGACTTCACGCCTGCTTTGCTAAATGAGGCAGCTCTGTAAAGGTGACAAATCAGCACCATGGTTGTCTAGAAAAGCCTCCCATTTCCACTTCTCAATCACCCTAGGACTGAGGCAGATGAACAGTTCAAGGGCAGTTCTGCTCCAGTGGGTGACGGAGCGGCTGGCACAGCTCTGGGATAGAAACCCTCCAGGTTGAGAGTCTCTGGGTTGGAACTCAAGGATTCTTTGTGCTCCCTCCTTAGCATCTTTCCAGGGGTCACTGTCCCTTACAGGGATGAGAACAGGCAAGGAGCAAGATGAAGGTCCTCTGAAACTCAGACTTGGACTTGCTCCCATCCCAGCTGTGTGTATGTGTGTGGGGGCAGGGGGAGTCCTTGCTGGAGAAAGCAATGAGCATCACCCTTCTCTCCCTGCAGTCTTCCCCCAATTCCCTAAACTCAAAGACTTAGCCTCGGGGCTGGCGCTGTGGCACAGTGGGTTAACACCCTGGCCTGAAGCGCCGGCACTCCATACGGGCACTCCATACGGGCACTCCTCTTCCGATCCAGCTCTCTGTTATGCCCTGGAATAGCAGTAGAAGATGGCCCAAGTCCTTGGGCCCCTGCACCCACGTGGGAGACGCGGAAGAAGCTCCTGGCTCCAGGCTTTGGTTTGGCACAGCTCCGGCCATCTGGAGAGTGAATCAGCAGATAGAAGACCTCTCTCTCTGTTTCTACCTCTCTCTGTCACTCTGTCTTTCAAATGAATAAAATAAATCTTTTTTAAAAACAACTTAGCCTCAGCTTAGCCTTTACCTCCTGTAAAGAGAGCTCAATTGACAATTTAGAGCAAGGGAAGAATAATAAAATATAATGCAAGACACACAGGAAATTTTCAACTTTCTAGTAGCCACTCCAAAATCAGATAAACCAGTGATGTCACTTTAATATATTTCATATAACTGACTGGATCTAAAATACTGTAATTTCAGCATGTTATCAGAATTTTAATGTGTAACATTTTAGCTTTTCCACAGTAAATCTTTGAAATCTGGTGTGTATTTTACACTTACAATACATCTTAATTCAGATGCTAAAGTTTCCTTGTAAATATTTTATCTGTATTTAGATTTCATAAAGCTAAGAGTTGAAAAAGCAGCTTTGCATATCCAAGTTGTTCCAAACAAACTTCAAGTTTTCCAAATAACCGAATAAATTATCAGCTTTGAAATTTAAATGTATTAAAACAAAACAGATTGAGTTTCTCAGTTTCACCCCCCACATTCCAAGCGCTCCTTAGCCACATGTGGCTGACGGCCACCGGCCACCGGCCACCGTAGCAGACCAGGTAGATGTGGCGCACCATGAGATACCCAGTGGGAGGGGTCAGCCTGGAGGGCTTTCCCACATCAGTAAAACCCCGGAAGAAAAGGCTGAGTGACGAGGAATGAAGATTGGGAGACAGAGCATGAGAGAAGCAGGGCAGGAGGGAGGCAGAGGGCAGAAGAGCAAACAAGCCAGCATGAACGGGCCAGAGGACCTGGGACCCCTGGTCTCTTCCTGCCTCTTCCCCCTGCAGCTGCTGTGGGGCTTCTCAGCCTCCCACCTTGTGCCACCCCAAGTCCAAGCACCCAGAGGTAATGGGCCTGGGGCTTCCAGTGCTGGGCTGGAGGCATATGAGCAGGTGTTACCCACAGAAAGACCTTGCCAGGTGCTGGGTATACACACACACACATACACACACACACACACACACACACACACACACACACTTTTCTTTCTCCTTGGAGCCGTAGGATTCCCTCCTGATGGGGCTCTGTTCTGGCAAAATCAGCAGGTCTGAAACCCAAGCCGGTGCCAGCACTGTCAGCTCTGCCTGCCCCCTCACCTTACAACTAGTGGCCTCCCTTCGAAGTGTAGAGAGAAGGTCCCTGCCTTCTGGGAAGTGGTGGCGTGGCCCCAGATTGTCCACACCCTGCAGGGCAGGGCGCCTCAGTGTCGCCATCCACACTGCAAACCGCCTGGCAGGGGGCACGTGGTCCTCAGGCTAGGGCTGAGCTGCTGCGGGGTGTGAGAGGAAGCTGTGAGGCGACACCGTAGAGGAGACTGCACACTGCCCACACCCCTGCATTACAGAGTGACAGGGCAGAGGTGAGAGCCAGAGCATTCTGCAGGGCTGAATAATTCACCATAAAAAATTACTGCCACAGGGTCAGGGTATCCTTCTGACGGGAGGTCAAGCAGAGATTCAGTAACGCCAGTTACGCACCTGTGCGACTACTCCCATGCACCTTGCACTCCATGGCCCAGCAGCCCCGGCCCCTGAATCTTCTGCAGGAAACAAGGGCTCTGGCCAGCAGCTCAGCCAAGTTCCTACAGCGCGAAGACCACCCACATTCCATGGCCCAGTGTCATGGAAACACCTCGTCAGAGAATTTACTACCCTCATGCCAGCTGTGCAGGAACCTCATAAAACCCTAGATGCTAAAGGCACTAAAAGCGTTCACGCTGATGATTTCCAGGAAGTCAACAAGAACCTCCCACCTCCAATCTGCTTGGTGGCATCAAACTCTGACCTGGGCTCTGGAAAAGGGTGGACAAGGATTGCCAAAGGCAGTCGGACAGAGGAGTGGGCTCAGTTCCTGGGACGTTACTGGCCCCTTTTCATTCAGCAAACTAAATTCCCAGAAACACATTCACTGAGATTTTTCTTTTCCTAAGGCTGAACTGCAGAAAAGGAATACACACAGATACACACACACAGCAAATAGATGAGGGAGCTTCAAAGCGTTCATGGGGCCGGCGCCGCGGCTCACTAGGCTAATCCTCCGCCTTGCCGCACCGGGTTCTAGTCCCGGTCAGGGCGCCGGATTCTGTCCCGGTTGCCCCTCTCCCAGGCCAGCTCTCTGCTGTGGCCCGGGAAGGCAGTGGAGGATGGCCCAAGTGCTTGGGCCTGCACCCCATGGGAGACTAGGATAAGTACCTGGCTCCTGCCATCGGATCAGCGCGGTGCGCCCGCCGCAGCGCACCGGCCGTGGCAGCCATTGGAGGGTGAACCAACGGCAAAAGGAAGACCTTCCTCTCTGTCTCTCTCTCTCTCACTGTCCACTCTGCCTGGCAAAAAAAAAAAAAAAAAAAGAGTTCATGGGAACCTGTTGAGTGAAAAACCTTCACAGGGATTTCTACAAATTTTTTTTTGCACCAAAATAAACTCATTTTCCCACATGCTTTCTGGAAAATGCTCATGTATATGTTCCTTTTAAAATGAAAAATTCTTCACAAAATAAAGTGAAAAATTCTTCACACAAAAAAATAAAATGAAAAATTCTTAAAAATGCAAAGCAAACCGTCATGACAGAAAACAGATCCATGGTTGCCTAGAGATGAATGAGATTGGGGGTGGAGAGAGGACAAAGACAGATGGGTCACGGTTGAGGTGATGGCTGTGTTCATTAAACTCCTGCCTGCGGTGATGGCTTCCACATGTCAAAACTGTTCATGTTTTACACTTTAAATATGTGCCATTTATCTTGTTACCCATGACACCTCCATAAATCTGTAAACAAAACACAACAAAACCTCACAGAGCCAGTGATGCCTGGTTTCATCCCGGCATCTCCATGTGGCCCATTCAGAAGGCAAAGCCTGGCCAGGGTGGACACACACTTCTCTAAGACTTTCCTTATGGGTGGGGAAGGGATGTGATCTCTGCTCAAATGATCAGCCATAACACTGACAGTGTAAGTCAAAGTCATTCTTTCTACTTGAGTTCACTCATTTCAAATATTCTTATTTTATTACACACAATGAAGACAAAGAGCACAGGGCTCATGGGTTCAAGGGCAGACCGGGACATCTACAGCAGCTCTGTGCTGGTGATGACACAGTGAACCAGCATTCTCTGGAAGGAGCATACACTATTCTGGCAAGGTGGATAATGTCACTAATTAGCTCATCTGCTGAAACCTGTTTCCTGAGCTACCTAGGCATCCAACAGATCTCACACATGTTAGGGTCTCTCCTTCCCAACCACACCCATAGAAACATGAGGAAAGTTTCCCTGAATATGGTATATCCTTTCCATGGAGGACTACGCAGTTATTAACAAGCGTGGTTTAAGGAGCTTGTTACACCCTCTGAACCACTGAGTGAAATCTGGATTAAACTGCCTTCAAAGTAATTAACAACTGACTTTGTCATGCTGCTTCATTCATAAGCAAATATTTAATAAACAACTACTATTTGCTAAAGGGAGGGGACTGAAGCAGGATATAGACAGGATCCCTTTATTCAGTGAGCTCCCAGGAAGCCACTAACCATAACATATAGGACAGAAGCATGTAGGGAATGCCATGTGTCTATCAATGGAAGAATAGCTAGCCAAACTATTGTTTATCCATAAAATGTAATATTATTCAGCAATGAAAAGTTACAAGCTATTAATATACACAAAAATGGGACAAATCTCAGAAAATTATGTTAAGAGACAGAAGCCAGACACAAACGTGTGCATCATGTTATCCTATTCTATAAAGGTCTGAAGCAAGCAAAATCAACCTCTGATGACAGAGGTGGGAACTAGCAGTGGCCTCTGTGGAAGGCAGTGTGGGCTGACTGAAAAGGAACACGAGGGAACAACCAAGGGGGAAGGAAATATTCTATTTATTGATTGGGATTGAAGTTATACAGTGTACACATTTGTCAAAACTCATCCAACTGTACAATTTGAAGCTGTTCATTTTGTTGAATGTAAATGATTCCTTAATTAAAAAAAAAAAAAGTGTATGGGATCACAGCAGAGAAAGCCACTCACTTTTCTGAGTATAATAGATTCAGGAAAGACCTCAAAAAGGAAATGACATTGAACAGGCCTATTGGAGCAAAAACAAGAAAATGGAAGTAGGGGTGGGCATTTAGTCTAGTGGTTGAGGTACTGATTGAAATGCCCACATCCCATGTTGGAGTGCTTGGGTTTGAATCCCAGTTCCAGCTCCCAATTCCAGCTTCTTGTTCAAGCAGACCTTGGGCGGGCAGCAATGACGACTCACATGGTTAAGTTCCCACAGCCTAGGTGGAAGACCGGGATGGAGTTCTGGATTGCGGCAGCATCCCCCACCTGTTGTGAGCAATTGAGGAGTGAACCAATGGAGGGGAGCAAGCTCTTTTTCTCTCTCAAATAAAAAGTGAAAAAAAAAAAAAAAAAAGTGGAGGTGTGAGAGTCCATGGTGCACCTATATAAAAGAGCCTTGGGGATGTTTGAGAATGTCCAGGAAGGTGGGGGTTGGGGGGAGGATATGACAAAGGACAAAGTTGCTGGGAATACACTGTAAATGACTCTGACAGATAAACACTTTCTACCAAGGATAAGGAGAGCATGGAAGTACTTAGATTATGTTTCTGGTTACCTAAATAAATTATGCCCATTTTCTGAAAAACACAAATAATTATGTATAAAGCAGGAAGTTCCCATGATCCAAATTCCCAAAATAGTCATTGCTAACAACTTTCAAGACTTTATGTGTGTGTATATTTTTGTATTCACTTGATAATTTGGGTGGCCAGCACTGTGCCACTGCAGGTTGAGCTACTGCGTGAGACATCAGCATCTTGTATGAGTGCCGGTTTGTGTCCTTGCTGCTCCACTTCTGATCCAGCTCTCTGTTATGGCCTGGGAAAGCAGCAGAAGATGGTCCAATTGCTTGGGTCCCTGCACCTGCATGTATACACTTTAATATGGTCTAATGTATCAGCCCAGCTCTGGCTGTTGTGGCCATTTAGGAAGTGAACCAGTGCATGGAAGACCTCTCTTTCTCTGCCTCTGCCTCTCTATAACTCTGCTTTTCAAATAATAAATAAATAATTAAAAAAAAAAAAAGGCATCTTCAGCCAGCACCGCAGCTCACTAGGCTAATCCTCCGCCCGCAGCACTGGTACTCCGGGTTCTAGTCCCGGTTGGGGCGCTGGTTCTGTCCCGGTTGCTCCTCTTCCAGTCTAGCTCTTTGCTGTGGCCTGGGAAAGCAGTAGAAGATGGCCCAAGTCCTTGGGCCCTGCACCCGCATGGGAGACCAGGAGGAAGCACCTGGCTCCTGGCTTCGGATCGGCACAGCGCACTGGCTGTGGCAGCCATCTCGGGGGTGAACCAATGGAAGGAAGACCTTTCTCTCCGTCTCTCTCTCACTGTCTAACTCTGCCTGTCACAATAAATAAATAAATAAATAAATAAATAGCATCTTCTTTGTACCTATTCCAACCTTTGGCCAATATTATGTGATGTTTTATAAGGTTCCTATTTTACAATTACTGCAGATGTTTCAAAGTGAGGTTCTAGATATTTGAGGACTTTGCTGCTTAGCTTAAGACACCTCAAGGAATTTCTTTACATCAGTTTTTTTTTTTTTTTAAACAGGTAGAGTGAACAGTGAGAGAGAGAGACAGAGAGAAAGGTCTTTCTTTACCGCTTCACCCTCCAATGGCTGATGCAGCCAGTACACCGCGCTGATCCGAAGCCAGGAGCCAGGTGCTTCTCCTGGTCTCCCATGCGGGTGCAGGGCCCAAGCACTTGGGCCATCCTTCATTGCACTCCTGGGCCACAGCAGAGAGCTGGACTGGAAGAGGAGCAACCGGAACAGAATCTGGCACCTTGACCGGGATTAGAACCTAGTGAGCCAGCTCTGCAGGCGGAGGATTAGCCTATTGAGCCGCAGCGTTGGCCAACATCAGTTTCTAAATACAGATATCCAACAGGCCTTAGGAATTTTAAATCTCAGGATTGATTGATCAGCAGTAAACAACCAAGTGAACAATCAAATTTTATAGATGAAAACTACAGTACAGATTATTAAAGGATACCTATTCCAAAAAAAGAGGAAACATGGGAAACGAGTAGAGCCAAACAATCTTTTATTGTTCACTAAAAAATACAGGTCTGGAAAGAGTATGCTGCATTATATATCAAATACAAGGTCTGATATTGCCAAGTATGTACAATACAACTTACATAAAAGTATACATATTTTACATAGAGATGGTATCCACCTCTTCTAAACACTAAAATTTAATAGAATGAAGTGAAACTTCTTATTAAATGGCAAATATAAACACGGCAATCACAAACAAAATGCTCAAAGCCAAGTGCTTTAAAACTGCTTTGTGTGACATCTACCATATCTACCTGGACTGGGAAATGGTGCAGCCCAGAAAAAACTTGGCTAACAAAAGAATCAATGCCCTCAAAACACTCTTCCTATGGGGCAGGCCACAGATGTCCCTGGCAGGGTGCCACCCTGGGTGGTCAGCCAGCAACCCTCGGGCCCATCCCAATGCTACTGCCTATTTTGGGGCTGAGCCGAGGGGAACTGGGAAAATACCAGGTAAGAGGAAGCTTACACTGCATCTGCTCTATAGCCAAGAACACCTAGCATCTCTGATGTGAATCTGCCACCCGCAGCAAACACTGAAATGTACTTGAGCAGAAATACCAGCACTGCGAAAAAAGACCACTTACCATGCAGTCTGCAGGTACCATCTCCACATCTGTTCAGACAGGCTTCCCGAAAGACACTACAAGGGGCACCGCTACCCTATTCCCGGTCAGGCAGGCCAGGAAGGAGGCTACAAGACTTCTCCAGTTATGATTACTAATCCCGATGAATTACAAATACGTATAGCTCATACTGGAGCACAACGAAAGCAGTCTGCTTTTCACATGGCAGCATAAACAAGCACTGCGAGAATTTCACAATTCTGAAATCAACTTTAGCTATATCCACATTTCCCTCCAAACAGAGAATTCTGTGTGGCGGAAAGCACACAACATCAACACCAGCTTCTCCACGTATTGTTAGGGCTTAGAATGCTCACTACAGATAATAAATGCAAAGAAAAGCATATTTCAATATATCCACAGCAACAGAGGAAGACTACATCTTTTCTCTGGGTTTCCTTTGCATTAGGCAAAGCAAGGCAATTTGCAACAATAGTGCCTAAGCTATGGCCATACTCATATTCTAAAAAATATCAAGGTTACAAAAGTTCCTTCATTCATAGGCAATTAAGTCTTATTAAATAATTTCCTGAACTAAGACAACAGTGTCACCATCAAAAACACATTTTCTTCTGAGTTTTTAAAATGAGATTTTACAATATCCCAGCTGCTTTGATACTGATTAGTGTAGAGAAAACCCTCACAGCTCAAGTGAGGGTTTTAATATTAATATTCTCAGATTTCTATACTTTATAGATCAGCAAATATTTTAGAATATCCACTAAGAGTTAGAATATTGTGAGACAATATGAACAATCAACTGTGTATTTTTCTTATTCTGTTCATCAAAGAATACCATGTTCTCATAGGAATACATCTGTTTGATGGTATCTTATTCTCCTCGATTCTGCACAGTAAGTTTCACTGTTCAGATTTTATGTCCTTTGCTTTTACAGTCCAAGGAAAATATCATAAAAAGTTGGAAAACTGCAAACTTCAGCAGAAGCACTGGTATTAGTGCTGAAGTAAACTTTGGGGGAATCACTGCAATCGATTATGACTGCCTGGCCTTGCTAGAAGCCCTTCTTTCTGGAATCTCTAGATTGAGATATTCCAACATTGTAAACACAAGAAAAGGATGTTTCACGGACACTGAGAAAGGTCTAGGTCATGTGTAACACTCTGCTCTTAGGAATGGTGTGCAGCTAGCCCAAAGTACTGGGTATGTCTCTGTTTTAAGCATGTACTTCCCCTCCAGAGTCCTGCCAATTCCATCATCTGTCACATCACTGTTGGGTCGTCACTGCTGCTCCTATTTCTTTAGGATGTTCTCTCACACCAGTGGGATTCACTGAGGTATCACTTTAAGGTACAGGTAATTTCATTCCACATCATCAGCTCCCCACGAGACATCAACTAGGAACAGCTTCTACTAGCAAAGGCATGATTCACTGGCATTTCTTCTTATAAAGGAATTCAAAAGAGTTGTTTAGAAGCTCAACAAACACCTTGGATATTCCTATAAAGGGAATGCTGTATCTGTGACCAAAACCCAAATATATTTACTGGATCGAAAGAGTACATGGGTTATGTAATAGCATGAGATTTGACAGCTCAAGTCTATTTCCAATATGATGCTCTACCATCTGGATGTAGCACAGCACTACTTAGTATCAGAGGAACACATGAAAAGTGTCAACACCACCCTGCAGTGACAAGCCTCCTGCTTCGGGTTCCAATTCCCCCAGCTCCAGGGCAGCCTGTCACAAGGACACCACTGGGCTCTCTGCAAGCTGCTCAGAGACAGACAAGAGCTTCACCTCAGCCAGCCCAGCAGCGAGCGCTCAGACTGAACACTGCAGCCCTCGGCCTTGGGGAAGAGTCTGCGAAAAGCTCTGAACCTAGAAGACTCACAGACGCGGCACAAAAATTCTTGGTTTTATAATACCTTCCCAAAGAAGTCAGAAATAACCATTTTTTTTTTTTTTTTTTGAGGAAGTGGATCTATACGTTAAAATAATGCAGTATCTCACAAAGCAAATCCTAGAATGGAAACCCTGAAGAACATGGCTCACTAATCAGGTCTTGCTTTGGCTAACCCATCATAGTTAATCGGCATAATTTCTCCCTGCACTTAGAAGCACAGTCCAGCGTGTTTTCCTGTGGCAGCACTAGGGAAGCACATGAAGAGGGTTCCCAGAGGTCGCAGCCCTTTCACCTTTGGGGACGTCAGAACTTAGAGAGAGAAAGGCTAACCAGGAGCTAACATTCAAGGAGACCGAGTCACAGCACAGCTGGCGTTCCGTTCTCACTCAGGTCCGGCGTTCTCAGGAAGTTCTCACTTGTTCACCAGTGGTGCTCAGCCTGCTGCACGTCACAATCACGTGGGCCCACTAAGCCTGGAGGGGAGCCCCGAATCAGCGTTCGTATTCTCCACAGGTGATTCTAACGTGCGGCTAGGAGGTGCACCACTGACGCATCCCTTTCAGGAAGCTGCTCCGTGAAAGCCAAGTGAGTGGGATTTGTATCTGGACAGGATTTTCTAAATTCCATCGGAAAATCAGGAATTTTTAGGAAAAGGCACAGTTGTGCTTCCTCTAAGGACGCAGCCTGCTGCTTGGGAAATGCTGGTT